TAGGTGGGGAAGCAAATATCATACTTTAGCTTATTGTCCAATAGGGTTTGTGGGGTAACTGGACTAGATCTTTTTAAAATGCAAGCTGTCTTTTCCTGATAAGTGCCCCTGAGTCACTGCTCAGATGCCTAATTTATAGTAGCGTAATTCCCCAGAAGAGCTTAGTGCCTTCTGGTCACATAACTACTACTGCATTTACTGTAGGTGTCTGTGCTGTACCTTTAAACATATGTATCTTATTACTAAATTACTGTGCACGTGACTTTGTGTTTTTGCTAATAGGTCTCAGCCCATTTAAAATTGTTTCATTGTTTGACAGTATTATTCCTTATATAGTATGAAATTAAATGACTTTTATGATTTATAACACATTTTTGGCATTTCTAGATACAGTTTGTCCTGCTTTATGATTTATAGTCTGGAGCAAACTGTTCAGTGTCCAATTACTAAGGGAATGTACCTAATGCAGAAAAGATGCTTTGAAGTTAGATGATTATAGAATGAAAGCACATTGATGGGAGAGGCCTACTTTTGTTAATACCATTTTCCTTCATTTTAGATTCTCCTGAATTATTTTGGAAACTACGTACCTAATTCGTGGACACAGGATAATGGCTGCACTCTTTGTGAATCTGATACAATTGACTTGTCTGCGGTAGAGGTAAGTGGAATCGACTGTGTGGGGAAGATAGTAATAAAAAGCACATTGTCATAAAATGCTGTGATTTATAGGAAAAAATGATAAACTGTTTTATAGTTTTGATTGTATGTAGATAATGGACTTAAAATGTTAAAACAGTGACTCAGAAAACTACTAGATTTGTGTTTCTGAACTATTTTAAAAGCAAAACCAGTTAATAATTGAACCCAATGGAAGGGACCTGGTGGTTCATATTTAACAGCTTACTATGGTTGGATGCTCTTGTGTTATTTTAGTCTGTTGGGTCAAAGCATTGAGAAAAAATCAAAAATCATTACAATGCTTCAGCATTTCCATTGACTAATTTTATCTGTGCTTGATTTTCAAATTTGATGATTTAAAAAATAATATATAATGACATAACTAACATTTGTTCTAACTACATGTAATAACTCATTTAAACCTCATAAAGCCCCTAAAGTAGGTAATACTATTGACTCAGTTTTACAGATGAGAAATCTGAGGTACATAAAGGTAAGTAACTTGCCTGGGGCACTCAGTTTTAAAGTGTTGGAGTGGGGATTTGAATTTAGGTAATCTGGTTCCAGACCTGATGTTCTTGGCCACTGGGAAATTTTGCCTGTATGTCATGTACTTACTATATGGCAGGCATCATGCTACTTGTATGTATTTCATAGAGAATTATATTTTGTCATTTATACTTTGAGGGTGAACAATGGTTGGAGATATTTATTATTAATCTATAAAACATTTCTATGGTTTTTTGTTCTATCATCAGCCAGAACAGTTTTTGGATATGCTGTAGTAACATTATTCTTCCCAAAAATTGCTCTAGTAACTTAGAAGAATATTGTGTGTGTGAACAATTGGATTCTAGGGAGCTATTTGTTATTAAGACTGATTCTTCCCTTTATTCACCATAAGTTTATTGAGTGCCTACAGCATGCCAGGTAAATATTAATAGAAGTAATGTAGGCAAAAATGAAATTCCCAGGAATATAGTTCTGATAATTCCTGAACCCATGCAAATACAAAATACTTTCACTGTAATATACTCAAGCTCCAGAATTAAATTATTATCACTGTTTGAAAGGAGGATAAAGAGTAACTTGCTTGTGTACATTTAGGAGTTTATGAATAGTACTCTATTTTACTTGAAAGTAAGTTTTTTGACTAGTCTCTTCAGATAACAACCAGAATGTTTCCTATCTGGAAAGAATGCCAGAATATTTCTGAATGAAGCTGCATCATAAAGTTTAAAAATTCATCTTTTGTTGAAAGTACTGTTGTACTCTGGAGGATGAGTTAATACTTTTTATCTGTTTTGTTTCATTTCATATAAACTTTCTGGTGCAAAGATAGAAAAATATTTTTATTAAATTTTTTTTCTTTTTGCATGTAGGAGTATATTACTTAATTCTTAAGCTATTTTGTCTTACTGCCTGTTAAAATATGCTAGAAAGGAAAACTGTTCATTCCATTATGCAAAATTAAATTATGTGCTTTATATGTGTAGTTATTATGGAATAGGAATATAAAAATGAAAATTGTGTGGGTAGTTAAATCCTAAGCCTACCATGTTTTTAGATGTTGGCTAAAGGCAAGTTTCTTTATATGTAAAAATAATAGTGAGTATCTCAGAGGATTGGTAGGAAGGTTAAATGAAACTTTACATGCACACATATGACAAATATATAAAATGATATTATATATGAAGTGATCATCCTTCAATAAATGTTAACTGTTATATTGTTATCATTATTATATAAAAATAAACTTATATTAATAATGGAGATGTAGTGTGTTGAAGCCTAGCTTTTTACCTACTAGTTTGTGTTCTGGGTCACTTTTCTAAATTGCATTTTCCTCATGTGCAAATTTGGAATAATCACTTCTAAGACTATTATGAAATTTAAATGAAATACATCATCTCATTTGGTAAGAGAGAGTTATAATCTACTTTTTAACTTATTTTTCCTGTTAAATAGAGAACTTTTATAGGGAAAATATTTTGTGTTATTTTTTTGCATTTGTTTGTTCATTTAATAATATTTGGGTGAGTGAATGAATTGATAGACTAAAGAAGTATGACAGCATACAAAGTGTACTTTCATGCAAACAAGGATTAAGTTCTAATACAGATAATTGAGGAATATGTAAAGTACCATGTGTGAAAAGATGGGAGGGGGCAACTAGTTCTACACTTAAAATACATGGTATTTTAAATAATCTGTAATCTTTAAAATGAGGCTTAAAACATGGTTTTAATAAAAAACATTATAAAGTCTTCCATATATCTCTGATAATAACACTGTTACAGGGTAGTTATGTTTCTGTCTTACCCATCCAGTTGTAAGTTTTTGAAGCTAGGAACTTTCATTCCTTTTGCTAAATGTTGCTCATCTCAAGGACTGACATGTCTAATGGATATTTCATATGTTTTTATGCAATGGATGAAAGATAAACTACCCTAAAAGATTTGAGACAATATATAAAATAGATATACTACATTAAGATAAAACATAGTAATGAAAGAAAATAGCTTTTCTTATATTAATGAAGGAAAGTAAAAGACAATCAGTAAAATGAGATTAAAAGGATGTCTGAGGATAAAAATAAAGTCTCAAGTCCTCCATGATCACTTTATTTGAACTACAGATTAAGCGCTGACCTTTAAGCCATGAAAACAAAATGGAAATACAATTAGTATTTTGGTTTCTTAGATGAAGCTTTCAAAAAAGCATTCAGATCTGAAGAAGCTTCTTCAAGAGCTATTATAAAAGAAGCATTGACTAGTAGAGTAGGCAGTATCCTTAATTACATTCATATAATTAATATGACAATGAGTTTACTCTTTGAACCTAACTCATAACCAAGATGTGGTTCAGTAAAATCACTTTAATGAGGTCCACAAAAATTTATTTCCGGTGTTAGAGAATTGCCATAGGGCAATTCAAATTTAGCAGATTGTGTTGAACTGAGATTCTATTTTTTTATGTTGTACTGATTAAGATTTGAATAGAATATAAAATGAAACCATACTAATGATAATTTGTTTTTGTGTTTGGTATAAAACAAAGGTCCATCCAAATGTAACAATAGGTGTTTTTATTGAGCAACCAACTCCATTCCTATCTCGATTTTTGGACCTACTTTTGACACTGGATTACCCAAAAGAAGCACTTAAACTTTTTATTCATAACAAAGTAAGTATTTGAGAAATGAATATTTTATGTGAAAGCTATTTTTGACTTTTGGGGGAGCTATTATTTATGTCTAAAAAAATTCATTGGGCTAAATTCAGTGGAGGATTTTTAGAGTAATTACAGCTCTGCCTTTTTAGGACCTCAGGATTTTAGAGTATGGAAACTAGCATCATTATATTGGGATGAGCCCCATGAAAATGCCAATTTTTATAGAGCAAAATGGCTGAATATTATTAGCCATTTTCATATGGCTCAGTTTAATATATAATGAAGGAGATGTCAAGGGTTTATATTCCTTTGCCTTTGGGTTAGTTCTTGTACTTTCTTTTATAGAACTGGTCATTAAATTGTTTGCAATTTAAGATAATATCATAACATCAGAACTTGAAACAGCTTCCAGATAGAGTATTGTTTTGATTAATCACACGACATGCTCTCCCAATAGGATTTTGATACTGTCATTTCCTTCAGAAATATTCAGAGCATCCCAAATACCTCCCACATATAATCTAAACTTAAAGATATTTTCCCTCAATATCTTATTTATTTATTTATTTCCTAGTAAAATAGTTGGCATTTAACATCATCTAGAAAAGCTTCATAGTTGTGAAATATGTCATTTTCTACTTTCTGTCCCAATATTCTTTGTTTTGCCTTGTTCTTTATCCTTATATACAAGTCAGCTTTTCCACAGAACATTTCAAATTTGTAGAAAACCAGCTTTTAAATGAGTTTAAAAGAGTGAAACATTTAGTATTTCCTTTGTAAAATGTGTTGTAATATATGTACTTACAGTAAATTGTTTTTATGTATTATATCTTTTATTTATATTTTTCCTGCTTTCATAACACCTTAAACTCCTTGATGGCAGGAGTTTTTAATCTTCTCTTCTTTATTTAACATTAACTCTGTCCAGCTTTTATATGATAAGTGATTTTTAACAAGCTGTGAAAAGTATCAAATATTCAGAAAGCTTAGAGACTTGAAATAAGAAAAACTGTAAAATGCTCTAATAATGGAGACAATAGTCTTATCTGAATTTTAGCACAATTAAATTGAATCACACAAAATTGATAATGATTATGTTGATGGTTTTCCCATTAATCTGTCTATAAAATTTTGTTAAACTTCCCCATTTTCTCTAATCACAAAAGTTTATGTATAACCATTAATTTTTCTTTCTGGTTTTAAAGAATATTATGTAACATTTTATTTTGTGAAATGTGATTATTTATATTTACAGCTCAGATGAGTATTAGATTTAATAGACATTTTTTCTGGATATTTTATGATATACATCTAAGATTCTCAGGCTACAAGGCATTTTTCCATCTCTAGTTAGAAATATTTTGTATTAATAGTATTCAGGATTTAAGTATTTATGCAAGTACCTGTGAAGGATTTAAGTACTTAGACAAGGACCTGTCTAGCAGTAGATGTTGAAAGAATTTTCAGGTTTCTTCTTTTTTAAGAATATTAATATGTATGTATTATAGATTCTTCATGTGCCATTTAAGTGATATTTACATAATAAATGCACAATATGATTATTGTTCAGTCTGTAACTGAATAAATATGTGAATCGTGGAATTCACAACTTTGAATTTGATGCATTCCATACATATGAATATTTCAATTATCTTATTGTCTTAATTTCTCTCTAATTTTTGATTTTTAAAATATGTTACAGGAAGTTTATCATGAAAAGGACATCAAGGTATTTTTTGATAAAGCTAAACATGAAATCAGTACTATAAAAATAGTAGGACCAGAAGAAAATCTAAGTCAAGCGGAAGCCAGAAACATGGGAATGTATGTTTTAATAAATTTAAGCTAAATTTATTAAATTATTCTACTAAAGGAACTTTAATAAAATAAACTTCTCCAAAATTAATATGCTAAAGTTGGGTGTCTCAACTGTTTGTGTGTGTGTGTATGCATACACACACGGCAGCAAGACTCTACTGTTAGACTTTGTCTGTGTTTGTACTTATTTACATGTAAAGGGCCGTGGAAGTTACTTACATTTTTCTTTTAATGGCTAGGAGTCAATGTGTTTAATCAAAGTAACAATTGAACTACAGATCAAGATTTAAAAAATTGCAGATAAATGAATAGTATGACTGCTATAGCAGTGACTTAAAATTATGTTTACTATCTGAGGGTTGTATCTGGTAAAACTGTGTTTTTTGACTGTGGGTAAAAAGGGGTATTCCTACTGCTGATCTAGATAATATTGTAATCCTCAGAAGAGATATTTTAGGCTCTTTGTTTAGAGCCTTTAATACTTCAGACTACTAATAAAACTCTGGTAATAGTAATAACAATCATTTATTCAATGAATGTTAATTGAATATGCCAGGCAATGTGTTAATAGCTGCTGATAAAAAGGTGAAGACATGGTGCTTTCTTATCAGACACCCTTATCTACTCCTAACCCTAATGCCTTGAGCTGTGGAAGCTCAGGGCCCAAAGTGATGGATTCTATGGGGGTGGGGTTTGAAATAGGCAGAAAGCAGGCCTCTGAAAAATCCAAACTAATGTTATTACTAATGATTCTGTAATTTATTCATTGGAGAATCGAATCCCTTGGGCCCACATTCAGAACTTATTTTCTTTAATTTTTTTGCACAATTGTAGCAAGTTTTTCCTATCTGGTATCCTGTTTGGCAGTTGCTTAGAAATATGTGAAGATACACACTGACAAAAGCAAAAAGTGGTAACTGGGACCAGCGGTGTGGGAGGGGATCTCAGAACTGGGGAAGAGATAACCCCAAATGTCGAAGCCATAATATGCAGAAGTATTTCATTTGTCATCCCATATCAGATAGTTCATTCCTTGGTATTCCTGATGATAATGTTACAGACTCTGCCAGGAAAAGCAGACATAGTCAGCTTACCTCTGGCAAGAAGGCAGGAGAATAACTATCTTAGAAGTAATTCCATGCAAATTAAAGTTAAAAATATTAATACCTTAAGAGTTGTATACTGGTATGTCCAAGATTCACTAAAATCTGAGTTGTCGAATATACAAGATGCAATTGTGTGCATGTGCATGTGTGTATGCAAAAAACATTTTGATTTGTGAAAAAAGCTGATAAATACATTGAGGGGGATTATTTTGACCTTTCAGAGAGGATTAGACACTAAATTAGAAGTTGCCATTATGACTAAATGTTTTATAACTTAAATATTTAGTGGTTTGAAAATATATTTTACCTGGCCTAAAATTTTAGTGTTGATCTACCTATGAATATCTGTGTCGATAAGTTGAACATTTTGAAAGTTAAGACAATATGTAAGCTTTTGGATATTGTCTCACTCTTCTGATTAATATCTTACATATAAGAAGCTTTATGTTAACATTTTTCAACCAGCAGTTATTTGTTTTAGCTAATTTTTATTTTTTTTTCTTTTTGAACATCAGGGATTTTTGCCGTCAGGATGAGAAGTGTGATTACTACTTTAGTGTGGATGCAGATGTTGTTTTGACAAACCCAAGGACTTTAAAAATTTTGATTGAACAAAACAGGTACTGTTTAAGATTCAATATCAATTTATTAAAATAATAATTTTCCACATCGATGTGGATACACTGTAATTAATTACTTTTTTTTATTTCAGCATATTATGGGGGTACAGATGTTTAGGTTACGTATGTTGCCCTTGCCCCCCACCCCCAAGTCCGAGTTACAAGTGTGTCCATCCCTTGGATGGTGCACATTGCACTCTTTGTGTATGCATATACCCTTCCCCTCCTCCCCCCTTCCCCCTCCACCCTGCCC